GTTAAATGAATTTTACTTAATGATATTTTTATTTAATCAAAATAATTTTTAAATAATATTGACACTTTTGGTTGATCCTTTCAATGTTCTCACGTAAGCACAACATTGTTAACTTTTTACAGTTTAACAGACTCATCATGGGTATATTCAAGAGCCAAACATATTGGTATGGTGCTCAGCTCTTCATCTCCCTCTATATCCTCTCTGTGTAATTTATTATATAAAAGAGAGTAATCTCTCCTCTGAAGGCCTCCACATCAACGCCACGTTGGAAAGGCCACGTAGGACGGATAAAAAAAGTTGGGCTTAATTATAAATTTCATGGCCCGTTTAACCCAAGCCTCCTAAAGTATTGTAGGCTCCTTTCACAACCGTCACACGGGACCCTTGCTTTCCTTCCTGGCCTCATATCAAAAACGGAAACGGCAGAAGTTAATGGTTTGATATCAATGTTACGACGATGATAAATCTAATCCCCCTCCTTCTGAAATTTTCGTTCAATCCTTTGACTGCAGTATGACTAATTCCACTGTCTATTTCTCCGATTTGAAGATCGGGAGGAGCTCATCCGTTGTTCAGGCACGCGACCTACGGCTCTGGGAGGCACGCCGTATGAGGCATGGGATCGACATGAAGTTCATCGATCTGCTACTCATCGATGGGCATGTAAGCTTCACTTCTTTATTAACTTTTACTTGCTTGATTTAAACCTCTTTATGTTATGATTATGTTTTTCTAAGTTAGTTATTCAGCAATTAGGGTTCTTATTTCTGTGAATCCAGACACTAGGGTTCTTATTTGTGTGAATCCGAATTCATGTTATGATTCTGTTTTTCTATGTTAGAGATTTTAGTCCAGAAAATCTCTGTTTTTCTAAGTTAGTAGGTTTTATGACTGTTATTGTCATCTCCGATTTGATAATTAATAGGATTAGGTAACCCTGAGTTGTAATGTTGCTACAGATTTGAGATGATTTAGGTTTAGATTGATTCGTACGAGATGGATTTGATTCTTTCTTGATTGGAATAAGGAACTCAGATTTGTTGTGGTGCTTTGACGTGAAGTAGTTTCTAGGGTTCTTATTTGCTTAAATGGGCAAAAACCTTGAATCAGTCTTTAGAATAAAGAAAAAAAACATTAACTATTGTTTATCAGTTTTTGGGATTCGTTTATTGCTCTGATTTTGTTTTCATCCTCTATGAGGTGCCCATTTGAATCAGCAATTAGGGTTCTTATTTCTGTGAGTCCAAATACAATCAAAGCTTTATGCATATCTAAACCTAAAAACACCTCAAAACCTACAAATAGGAGAGGGTTGAGAGTGGAACCAAGCATTACCAACATGTTTATGGTCATTGCGCTTTAATCCAAAAATATTTAGAGCCTTGGAGGTATGGTTCAATCTTTAAGGAATAAACATGTTTATGGTCCATTTTTCCTGCAATCTTTAAGGAATAAACATGTTTATGGTCCAGTTTTTATGTTTACTACTCTTTTGTTGTTTCAAATAGAATCAAGTAATGTTAGCATTGCTGTCCTTCTCAAGACACAGAAGCTGATTTCCTTTGTAAGGCTCAGATTGTTGGTTCTTCCAACAAAAAGGGTAGTCCTTTGTTTCTTGCACCATTTTGTGTTGTAGAGCTAAAAATAATCGTTATAGCTGTTGATGACGGAATGACAGTGCCACTTTGTGGTATTTGACAGTGAGCTGGCAAAACTCATCAAGAAAGAGGCAACAAATCTGGCTCTTGATGAGGTACATGTACCTTTGACTATACGTGTTTAAGTTTTTATACAATTGTTTCTGTTACTGTAAATGAACCCCAACATGTCTTGAGGACCTAGCTGGGAATGAATATGTTTTTCCAGCTACGTGTGACTCCCAAAAATACTTGTTATTTTGCACTCCGGGAGAGATGGGGTATAATCTATGTAGTCACAGTTTATTTAATTGCTGATATAAATTAACACTCATGTGCTATGGTTTCTTAGAGTGGCAGTAGCATCCCAGCTCAAATGGAAGCTGGACACACAACAGAATCTGCCAGCAACATGGTGATGCACAAAAGAATTCACTGGGAGTTGGTGAAGTAAGTCTGCCAGGGCCTGCAACCGACAAGAACAAATGCAAACACCCCCATGAGTGATTTCCGCGAGGCCATCTAACCGTCAACCCCAGTTAGCTTTCGTCTCATATCAATTATCTATTTCCTATGTTTTCAATACTTTGAACTTTTGGTCTTTTCTTTGATTTGCTGCAAACTATTTCTTAGCGGAGTAAGAAATATAACCGCTAAGAAATATTAGGACTTTCAATAATGAAGAGAACGTGCTTTTGCCAATTTACTAATGTCACCTACTTTAAAAATCACTAAAGTTTAACAATGTCAGACGGCGTCAACATCAACAATACATAAAGGTCGGTCATGTCAACATGCGACACAATGGTTCCCATACAGTACCATTCCATTACTCGGTTTAAATGTACTCTGCTAAACTAATTGTCTAGAAAAAGGCTGTCTGCAACTCCCCATCCGTTCGGCCACCACCAATGTTTAAAGAAACACCCGACTCCAACACCTTATACTTATAAAAAGTATTACAATAGCTAAAATAAACACATTTAACCTTTCCTATATAAAAATTTTACACATGGCTTTACAAAATATAAGTGCCCTGACACTCAAGTTCAAGAAACCCATCAAATGTAAATTAAAATCTACTTAACCGTAGCACATATAAAACACAAAACAAATAAATTAAATAAAAATTCAGAAAAACAGCAAACAAGTAATCCTACAATCGTGATATGCCCTTTGAACACTACCAAAAGAAACTCATAAACTCAAACACAACTTAACCAGTTATAGCCACAATTCTACAATTCCCTGCCGCAGTTTAAAAAAAATATCCCACCAACTGCAGCAAATCATTGGTAGCATACGATTGAAAAAAGTTAATATCCTTGCGCGGGGCTCGCCCCTAGTATCTAATACAATAAAGTAGAGTAGTGTTTCTCCACTTGGGGAAAAAATGCCATATGGCACTTTATTTTAATTAATATTTTGTATTAATATTTTGGTTTAAAAACTCATTTAAATACAAATAATTAGATAATTAAATTAAAAAAGAAACATATTAAAATATCCACACCACACATAATTAAAAATATGACATGACCCGATTCAAACCTTCGTATTATAAAATATTACATTATGCCAAACTAAAATTAATTCTTTTTAACACAAATAAGTCCAATTGCAAAAAAAAAAAAGGTAAAAACAAAAAAAAAACCATTCATAAAAATAGTAATAGCCACATAATATAAACTAAACTCTTCTAACTAAAAATGAATATTAAAAAAATATACTAAGGGATAAAATCTCTGCATCCCTACGTTTGGTCTCCACAGCGTTAAGGCGTCCTATCAGCGAGTTTGTTTTTTGCTACTATATGTTTCACCTCGAACTAACACGGAAACATATCTTCATATCTGAATATACAGAAAAAATTATCTTTTTAAAAAATTATGATGTAAAATTGTATTCCCTTTGTTTCATTATAAGTGTCACTCTACAGCTGTGCACACGGATTAAGAAAACAATTAATTTTACATATTTCCTATATAAAAACACAGTTACCCATACACCTAATCATATTTTAACCAATAGAAAAACAAATTACATAATAAAATAAATAAATTTTACATTGAAAACCGAAAACGACACTTATTTTGTAACGCAAAAAATTCTCTACAACGACACTTAATATGAAACGGAGGGAGTATTTTTGATAGCACACAATAAATTTTTTTATATAATAGCTATTACAAAATCACTGAAATTCATTTCAACTAATTTAATTATTCATTAAGGTTAGCTTTTAATGCAAAAAATTACTTCACAAATAATAGTATAGATAATTAAATATTTTTCTCCATTAACAAAATTTTCATCATAACATAAATATTTTTATTGCATAAAATAAACTTAAAAAAATTCATACGTTTGAAATATTTCATAATAAATTAAGGATCAAATTTTAAGATATGAAAAATTATTCAAAATAATAAAGTTATTTTTATTGCATAAAATTAACTTGAAAACACTCATGTATAGATAAAGTTATATACACAATCTATATGTAGGGATTTTTTTTAATATAAACTATGATGTGAAATATTTTTTTAATAATACAATATAAACTTTTTAATAAATATAATAATCAAATCAATGAAATTCGTTTTTAATTTATAATTAATTATATATTAACAAATAATTAAGTATAATTATTTTTAAAGGTTAATAAAGATTTACTAACGTTTACAAGTTGAAAATTTACTATTCTGCTTCATTAAAATTTACAATACCTGCAGTAATAACAAAAAAATCATTCTCCACTAAAACATATGTAATCCAAATGATTGAAAATATGTATTCATGTTTGTGTCATTTTCCATGAAACAATTCTTCTTTCTAGATAAACTAGGCACGAATTACTGAACAAGCAAAATATATCATACTCCCTCCGTTTCATATTAAGTGTCGTTGTAGAGAATTTTTTGCGTTACAAAATAAGTGTCGTTTTCGGTTTTCAATGCAAAATTTATTAATTTTATTATGTAATTTGTTTTTCTATTGGTTAAAATATGATTAGGTGTATGGGTAACTGTGTTTTTATATAGGAAATATGTAAAATTAATTGTTTTCTTAATCCGTGTGCACAGCTGTAGAGTGACACTTATAATGAAACAGAGGGAGTATCATCTAATGTTATTTTGAAATATAAACACAAAAAATACTCAAAAAAATAGTAATCATCATATTATACAAATTATCGAATGCTTTGGTTTGAAAATTTTGCTTACAAACCCATAAGACGTTAACATTAACAAAAAAAATAAATCATTTACTATTTATACAGCAACAATTATAACCCACAAAATTAAATAAATTGGAAACAAATAAGATTTACGGAACATATGGATGTATAATTAAATGTCCAAAATAAGAGAATTGCTTGACAAAAATCTATTACTAACGCTACTTATCGTAATTAAAACAAACAACCATCCATTAGACTTTTAAACATAGAAACTTGGTCTCAACCACGACACAAACAAACTGACTTCAAACAATCCTAAATACTCCAGATAATAACATAAGATTTCAAATTTGAATTAAAAAAATACATACTACGCCGGCACACCACTAGTATATATATATTTTTGAACTACAACATCTTCTCTGTATATATCCAACTTAACTCATTAGCTGTGTCATTGCCCCAAGCGCAAATTAAGATTTCGCTTGTAATTTTGACGAAAAGACTAGTTGGAACACGCAAAACTTAGGCCTCTTTGATTAAATGTCTCAAATTGGGAAAAAAAAAAGGAAAAGAAAAAAAAAGCATATGGCAACTCCCTCGATTTTTGCAAACATTTATAAATTAAGAGAGATGTATTTTCTTTTAAATCACTCGAGGGGTCCTAGGTTGATTTGGTCCATGTTGTTTCTTCAGGTGCTGCTTTGTAGCTTCTTCCGTAGTTTCTCGTAGTGTTTTATTTGCTGCACAAAGCACCAAAAAAACAAGATTCATTTTTACAGTTAAACGTAGGGCTGGGTTGCGGGTCAAACCCGCCCCGCTGACCCGCCAACCCGCGGATTTTAGTTATTTTTTTTGTTAAAAAATCCGACCCGCACAACCCGCGACCGTATAAATTTTCACCCGCACCCGCCCCGCTTAATTTTGCGGGTAACCCGCGGAACCCGCGGGTTATATATCTTTTTTTAAAAAATACTTATTTAATTTATTTTTTATGAAAAAGTAATAAAAATAATATATTTATAAAAAAATTATATATATTCAAAAAATTTAATTATTATTTTTAAAAAAATACCGTAATTTTTTTAAAAATACATTTATTTTTCCAAAAAAATACTATTTTCTAACAAAAAAAACACAATTTAAAAAAAAAAATGAAAAAAAAATTTTTTTGCGGGTTGGCGGGTACCCGCGATTAAAAATTCACCAACCCGCACCCGCCCCGCTTAAAATACTCAAAACCCGCACCCGCACCCGCCAATCGATTTTTTCAAATTGTTCAACCCGCACCCGCCCCGCAGCGGGTCAAACGGGGCGGGACCCGCGGGTGATCACTCATATTCCCAGCTCTAGTTAAACGAGAGACGGGTTGAAAATATTCAGCTTGTCAAAGTCAGAGAGAGGATTAATATTACCTTTTTGCTGACAGATGGTGTGACTAAGGACAAAGCTTGCTTGAAATGAGTCATCTTGATGGTGCAATCACTTAAATCCATATCTACGAACTTCTCCTTCGTTGCCTCGTTTATAGCTTTGTCCATCTTCCATTTCATCAAAATTCAAACCAACCATCACAAAACAGAACATGTGAGTCTTATTATGTATCAAAAAGACAAAAAAGATTACCAGGTTAGCGAGATCAGCTCCGCTGAAACCTTGACAGTACTTGTTTGCAATGGCATCCAGATCAACACTAGGATGTATGGGTCTCTTCTTTGCAATAGATTTTAGAATCGAAACACGCTCATCCGCGTTAGGGAGGGGTACGTACACAAGACTCCCAAACCTACCTGGTCTCAAGAAAGCAGGATCC